CATTGTTTTTGCCTTTTTTTTTTCTTTCTTTTTCTGATGATTATTATTTCTTAATTTTTTGGAAATTATGAAATTTATCTTCTGATTGTATAGGTATTACTTAAATACAACCATGATCTTGCATTGCAGAAAAAGAAAATGTTATTCTGAGGGAAAAAATATCAGTGATATCTATTTAAAAAAAAGGGAATTCCTTCATTACAAACATATCTGTCAAAACTCACATTCTCAGACTTTGAATTCTGAAATGCACACTAAAATGAACCATTTTTTTTTTTTTTAGGGAAAAAAGGTTAAAAATAAAGCAGTTTGTATTCTGGAAAATTGCACATATAAGCAAAAAAGTTTTATGCAGTGCAATATCTTGGTGATGCTCAGTTAAATTAAAAGCTAGCTTTAATTTAGTTGTAAAAACCAAGGATGCATCCAAGATTCAGAAGTTTGGCATAAAATGTATCAATGTGATTTTTAACATGGGGTTTAAGGACAGTCAAGGGCACGAGATTTTAATTTTTTTCTTTATCACCCCTCCTCCTCAGTATACAAAATAGCTAACATTTTATTTTCCTTGTAAAATGACTGGTGCCTCACTGTTTGATGTTAACCTACAAACAGGAAATGGAAGAGGAGCTTGGGATCCACATCGCTCAGGCCAGTCACAAGACTGAGAGTAGAGACCAGAGTGGCAGTCATAACTGCGGATAGCATATGTTTTCCTGAGACCAGTATCCAAAACAAAAGCTTTAAATGAAAAACAACAATAGTTTTAAGTGAAAATCTTACTGGAAAATATAATCAGAACAGGGGGAATCTGCTCTTATACTGTGAAGCAGAGACAGTTTATTCTAAAGGTAGGATTTTGGAAAAGTACCTTAATCCTAGATATATAAATTAATAATTGATTAACAATGCACACCCCAAAATGACATGTCTGAGCTCTATAAAAAGAACACAGGAAAGAGCTGAGTTTGTCTGAATGCATGCATACCTGTTACACTGAAAACTAAACCTTCTGATAATGTTTTCATAGTTTAAGTTATTTTCCCATGAAAGTCTTGTAAACATAAATTGTTTACACATTTCTTCTAAGAAACGCCTTTTGATGGATGTTTTGCATGACCAGTGTGCTTGGGAAGGTGGTAACTTAGTTATCCAATCCCTGGTCAATGTCGAGAATCTATAAATACTGGAGTCAGAAAATAAAGTTACTTCCTTTCCTGTTGTACCACTGAGACGTGTTCATGTGAATCATTCTGTGTCCTTTAGCGACACACATGTACTACTTTTTATGATGTGAGACAAAATATTATTGGCTCAGCTATACATGCTAAATGCTAAAACATTTTAATCAAGTGGACTAATTGAGTAAAATTGAGATGCAGAGGAAATGAGACATGTGTTATAATTGGTATATTTGTTATGAAGAACTAGAAAGCCAAATCTTGTTTTTTTGAAAGGAGAAAAAGACAGGGAGGGAGGGAGGGAAAATCACCCTGCATCTCCCTCCTTTAAAAGGCCCAAGGATTCCTAGTAAAAGTCTGATGCTCATCTGATGTCAAGGAGTGAACTCTGGCTTGAAGTTTCACCTGGAATTTGTAACCTCTGATCTCAGCACCTGTAACTATGAGCAATGAAACCAGTTGTCTCCTTCATTTTACAAAATACACCTTTATTATGTTTTACTCAGAAAACCTGCCTGGCCATAGAGAACAAACTGACCCTGTGTAATTTGAATGTATTATCTACACTGCTGCAGGTGTGAAGTGGGTAGGAGGGAAAGGTGGAGAGGACCTGCATCCTGGGGGACAGAGGTGGCATGAGGCTTTCTCTGTGAAGTGTGTTTCCAGTTTACAAAAGGTCTGGAATTTCTGCTGTTAGTGGGGAATTTCTCCCTAGCATGCATGAGTGTGTATCTCTCCTGGAAAAAGTAGAAACAAACCCAGTAATTGGGCAAACCTCTTGGTGCATTAAGATTAACAGACTACATATGATAGTGGCTGTACATAAAGCCATCCATGGATATAGAACCAAACTAGAATTGTCTCTTTTTTTGTGTGAAATATCAGATGTTTTTTCTTGTCCTCCTAAAAAGATAAGTATTTTAGTAATTAGTCACCAGTCACCATCATTTCCTATCAAAAGTTAAGGCTTAGGTTTCATTTTTTTAGCATGTTCCAGTTTGAGTCAGGGCTTCAGTCATTTTCACAGTGTTTAAATTTAATGTCAAATTTATTTTTTTATTTACCTTCACACGTTTTTTTCAATTTCTGAATATACATTTCTAAGACTGTTATGCTAGATTTCTAAGAAATCTACTGCTTTGTTGCATTAACGCAGGGGAAACCAATACAAGACAAAACTGGACAAAAGTATTTAAATTCTTTAACCTGAGATTCTCATATATTTATGTTTTCTTAATTTTGCGATAATAACTCTGCTTGAAGTGGGTTTATGGAAATCCACTAGACCTGGAATTCAAATGATATATTTTGAACCCTCAAAGTAAATGGGTGGCATTCATACAATTTCATTTTCAAATTAACGCAGAGTTTGTGAAATTAGTAAATACTCTGCAATGAATAGAGTTGATTTAATGTACACAAATATAAACAAACCCAGACATTTTACAGAAAGTCCAGTGCTGTATTACAAGTCAGATGGTTTCCCTCGAGCAGCTGGTGCAAGTAAATGGTGTGTGTTACATTCATTGCTCTAAATTTTTATTTGCATTTTGATTTCATTTTGAACTTTAGTTTTCCTAAATGAAATATAAGCCAAGTAACCCTGCAATTCTATTAGAAATTTCTGACCACATTTTCCCCAACATCTCATGAACCAGAAACATCTATTCATTGCTGATAATCATTAAAGCACACTGAAATCAATTTACACTATTAGAGCATGGCTGAATTTTGTCGCACATCATTAATTACACTGCTTGAGAGCGAAGTCAGTAAAACATTCATTTAATTTTGTGCTTTTTGCTATGAAACCTACTTCCTAAAGCCAAGAGCTGAGCGGAATTTGTCGCAGGAGATCAGTGTGTTTCTCTGCTGCCATCTTCTGGCATAAGAGACAGTTCTACAGTTTCCCAATTGTTTTTTAAATACTTAATAGCTTTTTCCCTTGAACAGCATTTTTGTTCATTTTGGCCTTACATAATTTATCTGTAAGTTTTGCAATGTTCTGTCTCTTAGCCACTTATAATTTGTCTACATGAAAAAGATTTTAGGAGATTTGCAAATATACAGATTAGTATTATAAAACAAATGTCCTTTGTATTACTAAACATTGTATTTCTACAAAAGATGATACATATATTATTAAATTTAGCTGTTTAATAAATATTTTTGCCAATATTTATGTTGTTCATACTTTACTTTCAGACAACAAATGAACTGTCCAGATCCAGGCCCGAGTCTGTCTTTAAGATCTTATTTACTACATCTTCCCATTTCATATTTTAACAAATAGAATAAAATATTTTCATTATTTTTAAGCTCCTAAATTTGTGGTCAAATACCCCAGTGACATTCTCTTGACGATCCTTCATCACTAAATAACCAGTATTTGAAAGCAATATAAAAAAATCTTCCTTTTTTTCCTGAAACTCTGGCTCATAGCACTAAAGTCCATGGAAGCTGAGGTACCCTGATATCCATCTGAGCACATTTTGAACACTCTTGGACCCAATCAGTGCTGCAGATTAAGAGAAGACAGCTGTTCCAGGAGGTAGAAGTGGTATTGGGTCCTCTGCAGGCAGCAGAAGTCCAAGGCAAGACTTGACCCGATTTACTATCTACAAAGGAAGGATGCTATGGCAGGATTTATTGAAAACATGAAATCTGTTAAAACATCCTGCTTAAATTCAGCTATTAAATGAGTTCAGTGATGTACTAATATGCCCAAAGTTACCAAACACTTGTAAGGCCTTGGGTCTGGCAACCTTGGGAGTACACAGCCACCATGAGATTGTGCTGCAAGCTAGTAATCTTCCTAAATGAAAATACTACTATTAGCTGAGAACAGCAGCAGGAGAGGAGGAAAAGATGGTTGCAGAGCAAAAGCCATGCCTGAATATCACATCCTTTCCTTAAAGTTGTTTGTAGCTTCCAAGCCACTGAGCTGAGGCTTCCCTTGAGACAGGCACAGGGGCTCCTGTGGCTCAAGTCTGACACAACCACTTCAAAATCTCTAATACATATATTTTTGCCCCCTCCCCTGGGAAATCAGACAGTGGTCAATCTGATTTTTTTTTATTTTACTCTCTTTTGCAAAGAGTACTCCCATTCACTGATCCATCCTTGACTGAGTATCTGTGTCAGAGGGAATGGTAGCCAAGTATTCCTGAGGTCTGGAGTGAGTCCAGAGAAAGGAAGTGGAGCTGGGAAGGGATCTGTGTGATGAGGAGAAGCTGAGGGAGCTGCGGGTGTTTGGAGAAAAGGAGGCTCAGGGGGGACCTTATTGCTCTACATAACTCCCTGACAGGAGGGCGTAGCCAGGTGCGAATCCACCTCTTCTCCCAAGCAACAACTGACAGATCAAGAGGAAGGTCGTCAGCTGCGTCATGGGAGCTTTAAGCTGGACATCGGGAGGAATTTCTCCACAGAAAGGGTGATTCCACACTGGAACGGCTGCCACTGGAACAGAGCCGTGGTGGAGTCACCGTCCCTGGAGATGTCCAAGCAAAGACTGGACGTGGCACTTATCGCCGTGGTCTACTTGACAAGGTAGCGTACGCTCACAGGTCGGACTCGATTCCAACTTAATTCGCTCTGTGATTCTTCCCGCGACACCAAGCAGAGCTCCAGACGGCTCCTTACGAGAGCGGACAGAGCGTGAGCCACTCCTATCCCTCACAGCCCGTCACGGACCGCCTTCGTTGGCACCACCCCAGGGCGGGCCCGGACAGCCCCACGGCCCGCTCGGCTCCGCTGTCGGCGCTGCGGCTGCCCCGGTTGCATCAGCCGCGGGCCGAGCGGCGCCTGCGCCGGGCCGCGCCCGCCCCTTCCTGGGCGGCTCCGCGCGGCCATGGCGGGCACTGACAGCCAGGTGGGCCCGCGGAGCCGCAGCCCTGTCAGGAACCGGGGGAAGCTCGGCCTCTTCCCGAGGATTCCCCCAGCTCCGAGGGGCGTTGGGATGTAACCCCAGGGAAAAGGAGAAGGGAGGTGGGGGTGCGTAGGCTTTGCGGGACGAGGAGATCGGGTCTTTTCCGCGGTGTATGGGGCCAGGAGGAAGGGAAAGTGCCTTAGGTGTGAGGGACTGCTGGGGCATGACTGAATGGTGCTCGCCCTCCGCAGGTGGGCGCTGGAGAAGAGAAGAAAGCAGACTGCGGGAAGAAGAAGATGAAGGAAGGGGCTGGCGATGGAGGGCGGTCGGAGGTGAGCAGCCCCTCGGCCGCGGGGGGAAGAGGATGCGGAGGCCTCGTTGCTGCCCTGCGCGCTGCTGGCATTGCTACAGTTTGTCTTTTCGAAGTATTTTATCAGGCGTTACAGTTACGCCTCCGATAGTGTGCCTTGAAGTGCCATTGTTGGTTTTTTTTTTACATTAAGTTGCATGGGTGTAATAGAACAGGTCAGATTCCCGTAGCTGGGCTAGGTGGTGCTTTTCCCTGTGCCTCTTTGCAGCGGGAAGCAGGCAGCAGATCTCTGAGGGGAAGAAAGCCTGTTTAAGGTGCTCTCGTCGTTTTCGTCTTCGTGGTGGGTAAACACAGATCCCTCTGACTCCACGGACGGCCAGCTGCTAGTCAGCAGTGGTCCTGAGCCAAATGCCTGGCTGTGCCAGGATAGTCCTGACGTCATTACACGTGTTTAAACTGGAGCCAGTTCCTGTCTGGGTGGCTCAGACTAGAGTGTTCCCTCAGTTTTTTGACCTAGTAAGAAGTATCTTGTTTTACTTCGAACTTACACAGTCTTTTCTAGCTGGCTTTTGTCCGTGTATAGTTTATTAGGTGGGGTAGCTATTTGGTAATATATGTGGTTTATTGAACAGGTATGCAGTGGTAGAGATTTCATTAAGCTGTAGCCGTGTGGTATTATGGCATAATTAATAATACATAAACTGAAACAATGGTGATTATTTGTTACATATAATGTGGATATCATCACATAGCTGCTTATGAAAATTATATCTGTTGCATTAGCATTCTTGACCTGATGTGCTATCAGATTAATAGTCAGATTAATCATTTTCCTTTGTCTTTATTATATACAGCTGAATCCCTGGCCTGCATTTATCAATGAGCGTTTAGAGATGTACAATAAACTTAAGGCTGAACACGATGCACTCCTTGCAGAAAGAGCTGCAAATGACAGTAAACCCATTAAAGTTACATTACCTGATGGCAAGCAGGTTGATGCTGAATCTTGGAAGACTACTCCTTATCAAATCGCTTGTGGGATCAGGTATGTTTGTATTCTGTGATACTACACACTCATTTTCAGACAGTGAGTTCAAGGGGATGAGTAATGTAAGATTTCTTTGTCATTTATCTCAGGTCTTCTCAAAGTATCTTGTATACAATAAACTGAAGGTAACCTGTAGGGTTTTAGTTTGGGAGTGCAATTTTCTTTTGCCTTGTAAAGATGCAGCTTCTAAAATTAAATAATTATAAAACTGAGGTATTTTACACACATTCTAACAGCGTGTTTTTCCATCCAAGTACTGCTGTTGCATTAAGAACTGGTTTGCTAATAAACTACCTAATGGAATGTTAGCACTGCAAACCAATTTACACTGACCTGAGGAAGATGACTGTTGGGTGATGTTTCAATTGATTACAGAGAAATTTAACAGTATGAGTATTCTTCACTTCTATTTGCATGGGAGATATCTGTTAAAAGGAATGTTACACATCTCCAGGATACACAGTGAACACCCTGACAGCTAAAATTGCCAAGATTGGGTGATTCCTAAAGGTGAAAAATATGGGGTTTTGGGGTGTTTTTTGTTTGTTTTTTCATTACTTTTTTTGGTTTGTTTGTCTCATTTTTTTGTTTGTTTCTTTTTTTTCCTTCCTGTCCATAATAAGGTGCCATATCATCAAAACCCTCTTTGCTTCTGTGATTTGGCATCATGAAAAGGGTATTTTGCCTAGTGGGTACAAACAGTAAAGCTAGTATATCAAAAAGGGTATTTGATAACTTTTATGAAAGTGGTATTGCAATAGGGTTGTGAAGTCAGGTTTGTACTTGGAGGACACTGCTTCTGAGTCAAATGTGCGTGAAGGTTAAGCACAGTTTTCTTCCCATATGCGTAGAATGTAAGTGGGATTTTTAATGAATGTTCAGGCTAAACTGGTTCTTTATTTAGAATTTATTTATGACATTATGTCCACTCTGTGCACTTCTAAAGTCTTATTCAAACTGGAGGGCAAATGGGAACTTCTGCTTGCTGATTTCAAAATATCCCTTCTTATAATTGTACTTCTGTGTTTATTCTGTAGTCAGGGATTAGCTGACAACACGGTTATTGCCAAAGTGAACAAGGTGGTTTGGGATCTGGATCGTCCTTTGGAGGAGGACTGTTCCTTGGAGCTGCTTAAATTTGAAGATGAAGAGGCTCAAGCAGTGAGTATCTTTCACCAAAACGTTTTTTGTGTCAGGTTTACATTTAACTCAGGCTCTTGGAGTTATTTAAATATTTACTCTGTTCAGAAAATTAAGAGAACGAGTTTGTGTTTTCGGTACATCTGCATTTTCTCTTAGTTCCTTACCAGAGGGGTTGTGGTACTATAGATAATGTACATTCTGCTGTGTACTTGTAGGCAAGTCTGCTTGCTGTTGCTGTAGTTCTTGTTAAAAATTTTTATTTTCAGCCTTCATGTTAATGTAAAGTAGGTCTTTTGAACTGACATCTTCAGCACTGATTTTGGGAACAAAACAGAGTACATAAATGTTTTCTATGGAGAACCATAAAAGTATTTAGTAGACTGCTCTTTTTCTTTGTGTATGCAAAAGTAATTACTTTCTTATTTTGGCTACTCAATCAGATAAATGTGCACAGCCAGTAAATTTGTGAATAGTCTCTCAAGAAAAAAAAAATCAGTTGGTAGAAGAAGCTGTCAGTCAAACTTAACACAGAAGTCTTACATTCAAACTTACGGTTTTCATATTGGCTAAATGACAGCTTCCAATTTATGATTTCAATTTGTGCTAACCAAGACAGACTTAACTTCTTGAAGTTAAGAGATTTGGTTTTGTCAAAACCTCAGATGTTCTACAAGATGGAGTGTGCAGGATTTCTCATGCATAAGATTCCAAGATTAGAACCACAGCCTTATGTTGAAGCACATCTTTTGATCATTATGCAGATCTAATTGATTAAAGTTTGTAGAAATAAAGGTTTCTGAATTTAGCTTCTTGACAATAGTTACATAATGTTAGCAGTAGTTGAAAGTAAGAATTGTTTGCTACCAGAATATAAGTTTTCCATTTCCAGTTTTCTGGTGGAAATGCTGCTTTTTGGAAACATTGATGCTGAGGATGAGAGTGCTGCTGGGCAGGTCACTCCTATTCTGCACACTGCTCTAATGTGGGACGTGCTTCAAGCATCCTTGGAAGCAAGTGTTTTCAGAAAAGGTTTTAAATAAAAAAATTGGAAATGTATTGTGTGTATTCAGACTGATCCCTTCTTTTTTCACTTCTGTTAGGTCTACTGGCACTCAAGTGCTCACATAATGGGTGAAGCTATGGAACGAATCTATGGTGGCTGTTTGTGCTATGGCCCACCAATAGAAAATGGATTTTATTATGACATGTTTCTTGAGGAAGGGTAGGTTTTGTATTTTTCTTTTTTTAGGAGCTGGGAGTGGGTGGCAGTCACAGCAAAATTTCTGCTGTGTACTTGTTCCTAGAAAAAGTCATATGTACTGCTGCAGATGGCTTTGGTTTTTTGCAGGATGTCCAACCAAAGTTTGTGCATTGCACCTGGATCACAAATTGCAAATGAAAGCAAAAATTACTCACTTCTCTGTGTGTGTTTATTTTAGGGGTGTATCAAGCAATGACTTCTCTGCTTTGGAAACATTATGCAAAAAGATAATGAAGGAAAAGCAAGCCTTTGAAAGACTGGAAGTTAAGAAGGAAACACTGCTTGAAATGTTTAAGGTGGGCTGTTACAAAAGGTTGTTTCTACCCTCATGCAATCAGTCTTTTAAGTATTTATAATTTCAGGGCATGTTTTTTTAGTGGTAGAAGAAAGTGTATCAAATTAAATTTTTAAGATGATACGTTCTTAGAAACTCACTTGTGATATTTAAAAAGAAAAGGAAAGTAGTTCTTAGGTTCTTGGAAGCAGGCATTCTGATTTTCTAAAACTGTGAGAATGCTCATTCTTCCCCAGGGTAATCTAACTAAGTTCTGTGAAGCCATATTCTTTATTTACTTCCCAGAAATGTAAATCTGCAGCATATTGTGTATGCAGTTATGTTGTGTTATCTTGTCTGTGGTGATACTGGGACTGCATATGTTACTGCTGCATTCAGAAAGCTTCATAAAGCATTTTTTAGAATAAGGACTTCTATTCTACGAGAGTCCAAGCAACACTAAAATCTAACCCTTTCTCTCTAGTATCTAACTGCAAGTAATTATTTGGCATTCCCAAGATAGACGTCTATGAGTTTTCAGTATTAGGACATCAAGAGAATCATAGCATCATTCAGGTTGGAAGGTGCCTCCATAGGTTTCCAGTCCAGACCCCAGGACATGGGGTCAGACATGGAGACACTGAGGTCAGACCAGGTTTCCTGGATTTGTCCAGTTGGGCCTTCAAAACCTGTGAGGACAGAGATTGCACAGCCTGCTCTCTTCACTTGCTTCACTTGCTTCACTACTTGCACCTTGCTTCACTACTGTCTGCCCTCCTGTCAATCTCTTTCACAGGCCTGTTCTGATGCAACATGGCATCATGTTTGCAAATAATTTAAACTGTTGGCCACTTCTCTTTTTTTTATCAAGGAATTAACAAGTACATGTGCTGCTTTTCTTCTCAGTATAATAAATTCAAGTGTCGCATTCTGAATGAGAAGGTCAATACCCCAACTACTACAGTATACAGGTAATTATGTATGGATCATAATATTACTGGATTTATGGTTCTAGGATTAAATATACCAAATAAATGCTTTCCTTTTCTTAGGTGTGGTCCCCTGATAGATTTATGCAGAGGTCCTCATGTCAGACATACTGGCAAGATAAAGACCATAAAAATTCATAAGGTAAGTGCTGCCTTAGACAAATGTCTTCACTGCCACACTTCAGCTGCTTTGCTGTCTTTGGGCTTAGTCAGGAATGTACTGTGAAGTGGGTAACCTGGCCAAAAACTTGGTGTTACATACTGAAAATGTTGTATGCTAGAATGGTACTCACATGTGAAGCCAAATTAGGTGTCCAGGACCTGCACAGGAGTGTGAGTTCTGTTTAAGGTTTGCCTGAACTGTGTCAATTAGAGTTGATAGTTTTTGCTGAGCTGATGGTTACAGCTATTAGTGAATAGCTACGAGGTAGATACGAGGAAGATAGGTTTTTAAAAAAGACAAGACCTGAAACCATTTCTACTTACTGTATTTACCTTTAAGGATTTTTCCAATTTGTGCTCTGAATTTCACATTAAATTTCTCTTCATGCCTTTGTTGTTCCACAGTAATGATTTAATAATAATTGCATGCCTTTTCATGGCCACTAGAAATAGTAAAATGTGGAGGCTTCTCCTTTTCTTCAATGTTTCATTTCTTTTTTGCATGCAGAATTCTTCTACCTATTGGGAAGGCAAGGCCGATATGGAATCCCTCCAGAGGATCTATGGAATTTCATTTCCAGATACAAAAATGCTGAAGGAGTGGGAGAAATTCCAGGAGGAGGCTAAAAGCAGAGATCACAGAAAAATTGGGCGGGTGAGACAGCTTTTCTGGTAGTGTATTTCAAAAGCACTGTGTGAATATTAAATTGAAAGCATCTTTAAGACAGCCTATACTTGCTGCCACAACCAAGGTGTGACACAATTTTATTTTCAATTGGATTGTGAAGTCAACTGCTTTTCTTGCAAGCATTAAAGTCCTAAAATAAATAACTTTTTAATGCTGTAAACACAATGACCACCTTATTGTACACATTGGTCAGAACAGAATATAAAGACTTCAGTCTGCATCCCATGAATGCTCCAGTCCGGAATGCTCATTCCTATGGTTTGCTGCAGCCTGCTCATGCAGTTATTTCCTTCTGCATGACTTCAGAATCTGCAGTATACAGCTGTGTTTTTCAGTTGGCTTGTTTCTGGGTTTGTTTTTTCAGATGGAAACCCCTGTCAGATAAATAACTGATAGTTCTGGACAGGGTTAAAGTGCGGGTCGTACATCATGACAAAATACTGAAGAATTCCCCGTATGAAGACCTTAGGTGTGTGCACAGTTTGTAACAACATTAACCAGCTGTAGTTCACACATTCAGTTTAAGTGCAGATAATTAGAGAGCTGCAGAAGCAGAACAAAACATTTACTTGTCAGTGTGCAGAGGGAGCTGTGGGGGCACAGTTGGGAGTTCAGTGTAAAGTTTTGGCACATCAGTAATGATTTCCTTCCGCTGTAACTGCTGACAGACAAAAAAATACTAGTGAAAATGCATCTGGCGTATTGGATATCGCCTTTTTCCCATATTTCTCTTTTTGAAACTCTGATTAGTGATGCCCAGTCAGTAGCAATTCATGTGTGAATGTTAAGTGAAAAAGTTAGGGTGCAAATACTATGTTTTTAAAGTAATATTTTCCTGCAGGACCAAGAACTGTTTTTCTTCCATGAGCTCAGCCCTGGTAGCTGTTTTTTCATGCCGAAGGGAGCTTATATTTATAACACATTAATTGAATTTATACGGGTAAGTGATATCTTTTGGAAATCTTGTAGGAGAAATTGGGTAATTAAAAAAAACACTTAACAGCATGCTACATTTAACAGTATTAACAGCCCTTCATTATAAGGTATTTTCTAGTTGTGTGAGCCATGGAACTAAAGAAGTGTTTCTTTGTTTCTTTGAGTTGGTCTTATCACAATCTCTGTAAAATTATGTTTTTTCAGTACTTTATACCTGTAGTTAAAGTTGTGATAAAGGTGCTTTGTCATAGGAATTCTTCAGTATCTAATAGCAGGGCTAAGCTCACACTACTGCTGTTCCATTGATGCATATTGATTTGTTTTAATAAACATACATAATTTGATGTTGTAGACCTATTCGTTTTGAAAATACATACAGGAAAATAACTCTGATCTTCCTGTGGTAATATTTGAAGTCTGTGTCATTACTGTATATTTGGGCTGCAGTGTAATATATCAAGGATCCTTGAGTAATTAGAGACTGCTGCATTGCTTGCAGGGAGGAGACTTGTTCTTGCAAGAAACTGTTTGGGGGAAGGGTGGTGGAAGGGATGCATGCTGGCACACCCAATTTGAAGTTTTGTCTTCCTTTCTCCCTTTCATATGGCATAATTTTTATATTTCTATGGTAGTAGATCAGAGCCTGTGCTTACCTTTGCTTTCTTTATTACTTATTTTATGTACTGTGCCCATTTCTAGAGTGAGTATCGAAAACGTGGATTCCAGGAAGTTGTCACTCCAAATGTTTTCAACAGCAAACTGTGGATGACTTCAGGGCACTGGCAGCATTACAGTGAGAATATGTTTTCCTTTGAAGTGGAGAAAGAAATCTTTGCTCTGAAGCCTATGAACTGCCCAGGACACTGGTAAATAGATAGCAAATTCAGTTTACCAGAGATTGTGCTGACTGAAAAAAAAAAAAACAAAAACCAAACAAATCCCCTCTGCTTCCTTTGCCTGTGTAAATATAAAGAAGACTATCTCCAGCCTTATTCATTTTGTCAGTAATGATGTAATTACATGTCTTGCTGTCTACATGCTTTCTTCACTTGAGACACTGAGAAATGTCATGTCATTTTAATATCATTAGAGTCACCCCATCATTACAGGGGCATTGCCAGTTTTGTGGCAGTTCAAGCATTCAGCTTCTAATGCTCAGTTTTGGGAGCTGTTTTATCTCCTCTATATGAGGAGGGGAAGGCCCACCAGCTGTAAAGTGAGATTGTTTTCCTGACAAATGTAGATAAGACTGAAGACTCTGTCAGTCAGATTACACTGATTGCCTTAGGGGCACGTGCTTCATCACTGGCTGCTTCTCCCTGGCTATTCTTTGCAAATTTTAAGTTCTCAATGAGCTTTAAGTAACAAACTTTTCTTTCAGCCTTATGTTTGACCATCGCCCGAGGTCGTGGCGTGAGCTGCCTTTGCGGTTGGCAGATTTTGGTGTCCTGCATCGCAACGAACTGTCAGGAGCTCTCACAGGACTCACCCGAGTACGCCGGTTCCAGCAGGATGATGCTCACATCTTCTGTGCTATGGAGCAGGTGGGGGCTGCTGATAAATGAAACTGGGTATTATAATCAAGTAAACTGAAATTTCAGTATTTGAGACATGATTTCTATTGTCATCAAGATTGAAGAGGAGATAAAAAGCTGTCTGGAGTTCTTGCGTACTGTGTATGATGTCTTTGGATTTTCATTTAAACTGAATCTCTCCACTCGTCCTGAAAAGTACCTGGGAGATATTGAAGTGTGGAATCAAGCTGAAAAGGTAAAATAGTAGTCTTGTTCTTTTCAATGATGTAAGGCTGTCTCTTCTGTAAGAACTTACTGCCTTCTGGGAGGTATAGTGAAGTTGGGCTGGGCGTGAGCAACATGACTTGGATAACTGCCTTCAGTTCACTCTAGCTGCTATAAATAGTTTGCTCTCAGTATAGAGGCAGTCTCCATGTAAGCATCAAATGAAATCTTTCTCCTTGTCTCCTTTTGATAATTAAAAAGGAGGAAGAGAATAAAATCTGGCAGCCCCTGTAATAGACTTAAAGCCATCTTCCAAAAGTGAGGGTGAAAGGGATGGAGTTGGTCACTGCAGGTGTAGTGCTGGGGAGAAGATAGGGCAGGAATAGACATTTGGTGTACCAGGGCAGATTTCATCTCAGCATTAACTACAAACTTTGAATTTCGTATAAAAAGTTCTTGTATCTCAGCTGGTGCTTGTTTGGCCTCTTCCAAAATGAGTGCATTAATTTTGTGTGTTTAAATTTGGACACAATTTATTTTTTGTTTTTTGCCGGTCCTCTTCCAGAAGGTCTTTGGTGGTTCCTCTTCCCTTTTTCAGAAAATAAATGTGTTTCAGCAGTAATTGAGAAGTAGTGGGAATTTGGAATCACCTATTTGTAGTAGCTGGCTGTCCTGAAATTATTATGTGTAAAGAAATACTGTGTGTGTCCTTTATCTCCAGCAACTTGAAAACAGCCTCAATGCCTTTGGTGAGAAGTGGGAGTTAAACCCTGGTGATGGAGCTTTCTATGGACCTAAGGTTAGTGTGGTGCTAACCCCTAGCTGGATTTGGCTTTCAATTCTGTTTGCAAGGCAAAAGGCTGGGAAGAGGAAGAAAGGAATTTTTTTGTTGTTGTCCCATTTTAATATGCTGTCTGACTGAAATTCTAGGTTTTTCCAGATATGTAAACTCTAACATACTTGAGAGAGAAATAATCTTCTGTGATCCTGGTTTTCACATAGTTTTAACTGCTTTAACACTCTTTTAGTTAATTTAACATGAATAAAATATTTGTCTACTGCTTAAACAGCTGGCTGGTTTAGTGGGTGAAATGAACACAAGGTGGCACTGTAAGACCTGTTTTAGCAGAGCAACTTCTGCATTGGAAATAATCCTTTCACCAGTATGTGAATACTAAGTCAGGAGAAAACCAAAAGTAAACTTGTTAAACAAATTTTTATTCCTTTACACGCTTCCAAGTTGCATTGAGTTACTGGTGGGTTTTGGAAATTCAAAAATCTCCATGCATTGATCATGAAAACTTGTTTGGTTTCCTAAGAACAGTCTCCTCAGTTTGGACAGATTAAGTAGGGCTTTTTAGAAATGTCATTGTTGTCTTTGCATGCAAGGACACAGAGCATTATGAAATGGCTTTTAAATCTTTCCCTAATACACCTACGTTACATTTATATTTGTGTTCTCATCTAGTAAATGTTCATCTCATTTGTGTTACCATCTAGTAAGCTGGTTCTGATTTCTCTATTTGTATGCCACTTGAATCAGTTTTGGTTTGTGTCTTGTAGGTAAAATGTGTTATAGCAGGTGGTATTTAGTAATTTCCATATTTGATTGAAGGAAGACAAATATACAGGAACCTTTATTAACATTAATCTTACACTTGCTCTTCATACAGTCTGGATTTGAAATTAAGTTGCAAATAATTTATTTTGATTAGAAGCTCTTTGGTGACAAGCTGAATTCCAATTAAGTGAATTCTGGATGCAAGATTAAAAGACATCTAGATCTTGAGTTGTTAAAACACTGATCTGTTTGTTTATTAAATAAATTATAGTAAGGCATACTGCCTCAATATATAGCCTGATATATACTGGCAAAGTGATAAGTAAGTGAGCAACTTAAGGTCAGGAGCAAAAAATAAGGTCAGGACACTATAAGTCTGTTCCTTTTTATAAGCCTTCTCTGTCTAAGTTGTCACAAGTGTACTCGGGATTTAAGTGTTAGATCAAAAAGAACAGGCTTGACTTGTAGGTCAGAGCAAGTGTTACTGATCCATAGGAGTTCCTGCTGTCAAGTGGGCTGTTTAACAGATTCTTGTCCCGTGTTCATGCCCTGACTTTCTAACACAAATTACAAAGTCTTCAAATATTACATAATAAAGAAATGTAAATTTGCCACTTTGAGGCTGAAGAAATTGCATTTGTGGGGAGACATGTTCAGTCCTGCATTTACCTTCTGCTGTATTCACTCAGTGAAAAGGCTTATGAAAGTTCCAGACTGAAACTCACAAAATGTAGTCTGAGACATTAAATGTAGTTCTCCCCTGATATATTATCTCTCTAGTTACTCACCCTGTTTTAGCTCTAGCATCTTTTGCATCGGAACCTGCAAATCACTTAAACCCTAATGAAGACTGAAGTAAAACTACAGTGTCTAAAATTGCATAGAATTCCTCTGCATTGAGTGAAACTTTCCATCTCAAGACAATGAATTTGTTTTCAGAGACAATGAATTTTCTTGTCTCTTAACTGTAAAAGTTTTATGTCTTTTTGTTCCTCAGATTGACATTCAGATTAAGGATGCCATTGGCCGCTACCACCAATGTGCTACAATTCAGCTTGACTTCCAGTTGCCAGTCAGATTTAACCTCACCTTTGTCAGGTAAGCATAAGGGCTGGTAGTTTCAGTTTCTGTGTAATCTAACTGCAGTGGCACTTAGAGGCATAAGAAAAAGAAACAAGAAAAAAAACTTTACAGAAGTTTTTTCTTTACAGCCACGATGGCAATGACAAGACAAGACCAGTTATCATTCACCGGGCTATCTTGGGATCTGTGGAGAGAATGATTGCCATTCTAACTGAGAACTATGGAGGCAAATGGTAATGTTGAAAAGTTATTATTCCAGTCCAAGCAAACTCTTCATGTAGGAGAGAAATTAGCCCCAAGTATTGGAGAGTCATTGTGGTTTGTTTGTTCCCTGTGTTTGCTAGGGTGACATGCCTGGGAACAGCACAGGGCAGTTTTTTCTTTACTGCCTTCCTTAGAGATGAAATTATTCAAGATATGGTAGATTCTACATGATACTGCCAGTTCAGGTACAGCATACAGCTAGTCTGTCCACAGCATATGCATCCCAACTGCTTTTGCAGCAAGACTGTGTTGTAGAGTCATTTATGTAGATGATCTACTTTACCTGTGTTAATAACCCAGTGGGAGTGACCCCTCTGATTATGACAAGACTCAAAAGTAAAGGTTTTCATGTACTTAGTTAGGAATGAGCTCAATCAATTAGGCTGTGTTACTGTCATAAAACACAGCAGCAGTCTTCCAGTCAGCAAGTGCTCATGCCCACACTGCAATCCTTTTAGACACTAAGTTCTTTTGGGGAAATATTGTAATGAATATAGGGCTCTCATCACCTCTGAACCCAATCTGTGCAGCTGGCTTTAAGAGTCTCTTGTGTAGATTTTATTCCTCTCTGTAAATAGTATTTTTTGTACTGAAAAAACACTGAAAGGTGTATAAACTTGTTTTGTTTATTGAAGGCCACTCTGGCTGTCCCCACAGCAAGTAATGGTGGTACCAGTAGGACCAGCGTGTGATGAGTATGCCCAAAAGGTGATGTATATGGTTTCAGGGCTTTGTTTTCAGTATATTGTACTGATCTGAAATACTTAGTTACTAATGATTAATAGTATTTATTTCAGAGACATATTCCAAGTCTTTGCATATTATATTGAGTAATTTTTTATATCACAGTGATACAAAATTAGCTGCCAAAGTTGTAGTTCTCTTAAAGATGACCTGAGTTATATTTTGGATACGTGAATAACAAATGTTGATCTTCGTGAGACTTTTATTTTTTGAAAACTTAGTTTTTCTCTTGCTTAAAGCTGTCCTACCCTTCATATTCTAATCCCCCATGGCCATGTGCCATGTGCCTCTTGCAGAGCATTAACAAAGATGAAAATGAGTCTTTGCGTATTTAGCATCCAGTAAACCTTTGCCTGTAGTTCTTTAAAGCACATTATATATAAATAAAATAGTCTGCAAAATTTAAAAATAAAATTATCTCTTACAATCAGTAAGCTCCACCATCCTGTTGCCTTTTACAATATCAAATCACTACTCAGCCCAACATTAGATGTTCACATCACTGCTTACTTGTTTATTGTGTAAATAGTTGCATGATAACCAATGTATTTTAGTTTCATGAACTGGGCTCATCTCCAATACCGAACCCATGACAATGCCTTTGTTTTAGGGTTCAGGTAATCTGAAATGGTTTAAATCTACAAGTCATGAGTAGTTCATGGTCATGAATATCCAGTACTGACAGTTTAAATATTTTTTTTCCTTAGGTCAGGCAGCAGTTTCATGATGCTGGATTTATGGCAGATGTTGATGTAGATCCTGGGTGCACACTGAACAAGAAGATAAGAAACGCTCAGCTTGCACAGTATAACTTTATTCTGGGTAATGTATTAGTTTCCTTGTACTGGGCAGACCCTTTTGTTACAGGATTTGATCATTCTGTGAGCAAGGCAGAGAGTTGTAATCACTGGTTTAGGTCAATTTGTTCCTAAGAGCCTCCGCTGCAGAGAACCCCTCCTGCTGACATCATAGGCATTCCTGGCTTGTATAACTGTCCCTGAAGGGAGATCACTGTGATCCAAGGCATTATTGATACTTTTTGCTGTGTTCTCGTCAGCGGTATGGGGATAGATATGAAGTCTCTTGTCCTTTATCAGTCAGATTTTAAGTGATTTTCCATCCTCCCAATAATTTATGCTCTTGCTTCTGCTTTATCAAAAGAAATATGTTTTCATTGCATTCAGCTGTGGTACACTTCTGAACTTGGCATGCGTGCATAAGAGAAGCCTATTTCAGAGTAAGAAATAGAGCAGGAAAAATTAGAAACTCATCCTGAAGTACATGATTTGAAGCGGCATGTTAGTCCTGTTGTGTGAATTGGGGATCCAGCATTGGCCTTAAAACCATCTGGGATCCATTAAGAGTAGAAGGCCCTTTGATAGAGAAACTCTGCTCTCCAAGTAACTGACAGAATTGTGAAAAAAAAGTTAATTCCTTTGCCTCTTGATTGTTTCTAGTTGTTGGCGAAAAGGAGAAGGCAGGGGGAACAGTGAATATCCGCACCCGAGACAACAAAGTGCACGGGGAAAGAACCATTGCAGACACGGTGGAGAGGCTGCTGCAGCTGAAATGCTCTCGTTCCAGACAAGCTGAAGAAGAATTTTAACACCATCTGCTCTACCTGGCATACAGAGAATTTGTAGTTTTCCTAATTTAGTTAACCAGAGTTTTTGTTCTGAGCCAGATTTGAAGTATATTTCACATTTGGACCTCTTGCTTATTTTAATGGGGATCTTTCTCTAGTCAAAAATGCCTCTTTTTATATAAAAAAAAATCAAGTTTTTCAAAAAACTCTGAAGTAAAGTTTCCTGGCTTTTAACCAATGAGATGTGAAGCAAGATGAAATTACTTTCTGTGACTGCAAGGGAATATTGAAACATTAATTAAGGGTATCTATGACATTCTAACTGCCCTGTTAAGAGTAACATACATTTTGATAACAAATACTTTTCATGCCAGCTTAACAATAGACCTCATGCTTAGGAACCAGTGTAGTAGCCGTGTGCTGCAGCAGCAGCTTCTGGAGTGTCTCTATGAGCGAAGACAATTATACCTTACCATCCTGTCTCATGGTCTATTACCACTTGTTATTGACTCTCAGAGCTCCCAGTCACATGAACAGGGAGATGAGCAGAGGCCTCCTGCTTCCATTGTGGTTGTTACCTCTGGCAGTGCCTCAGCTCCCAGAGTGTGAGGCATTCCTGACTCCACAGTGGGGCCTTCTGCCACAGAGCACAGGGCTGCTAACCAAAGCCTACCATGCCCCTTTCCAAAGGCAGTCTCTGAAATGTGCTGGCTTTGCAGGTGAGGTCCTCAGAGCTGTAGAAAGGGGATAACACTGTCTGGAAAAAGCAGGGCACAGTAGGGCCAAAGAAGCAGCGGAGGAAACCAGTAGTATTAGGAACAAAGGGTGTTTCTGTTCCTGTCTGAGCTGTCATTACAGTGGGGGCATCTGTCACACAGAAACAAGAATGTACTGAACAAAACAGGTAGTGATTATTTCTTTAAGACAAATGCTACTTTTCACTTTAATAGGTACAGTCCTATCCATGGCACACTTCCTTCCCAAGCCTCTAGTCTAAGGCATTACATAATTAGCAGCCCTTCCTATCTTAATGCTGAGGGATCTCATCTATTAATTCTGGGTTTGGTTTGGGATTTTTCTCTGCATCTGGCTAACAAGGGGCAAATGTCTGTCACTGACAAAAAATAAAATCTCTATCTGAAGCTTTTTGCATCTTTATAATTTTATTAACTAACTTGAACAGCTTCAAAAGGTGGTTGATAACAGTTCATTTAAAAAGAAAAAAAAAAAGCTATTCCTACAGCCAAAGCAAAGATCAGACAAGTCTGAGTACAGGTTTGAACTCCCACCTTTTGAGAACTTACGTGTCTTTCCTTTTCCATTATTGTCTGGGCAGAAGCATTTCATCGTGCCTTTTCTCACCTATTTTACTCAGGGGTGATGGTCACATTTTTATCAGCATTTGATCCCTTAGTGAATTCAGACTCTGCAGACTGTAACCCCAGCAATTTTCAGCAAAATCTATTTCATCCTCCTTTGATTCGTGGAGATTAAAGGTTCCATCTAACTGCTGGGGGGAAGAGGGGGAAATTGATTTTCACTGTCTTGCTGCCTTCAGAGTTACTTCTGTGATGGTTATTATTTTCTGTATTTTGCACCTGCTTTACTTTGCTGAAAAGTGACTGTTGCCCATGCAGTCACTGCACTGGAAGGAGATGTTGGGTACCCCTGGGGCAAAAGGACTTACACAACCGGTGAAGCAAACCCAGTGTAGATACCAGTGGCCCAGGGTAAAGGAGACACTAGCTCTGTTCCTGTAGGAGTTGTGCTTTGTACTGCCTTTCCACTGATGTATTTTGTTGATTTTCAGAGAGCTCTCCTTTCCTTTTTCTGGGGATCCCTGCACACACCAGTATTAAACTGCCCAGAAACTTCCCAGGATGTGTAATGAGAAGCTGGTGCTGTGCAGCAGCAGCTGCTGCTGTTTATGGCACAGCAGGTGTCAGTTTTGGAGAGGCTGTCCCTCTACAGCCACCTCATTTTCTGAGGTTCTGCTCTTGAATACCAGTAGAACAATGGGTGTGTACTATGTGCATACATCTCTAGAAACCACCCAAGGTGCAGTTCAGCACAGCACAGAGCCCCTGCAGGGTGGTGGCAGGACTGAGGTGCCTGCCTCCAGATCAGGTCAGCGCAGTTCAGCTGCGGATATATGCACAAGTCGAGCTGCCTCTGAGGCTGTACTTCCCCCAGCCCTTTCCCTGCTCGAGTAGCAGCCTTCAGCAGTGCTCCTGCTGGCTACATCTGGCTTACAGACAACACCACAGGAGTTAAGGGCCATAAATCTTCCTCAGCAGCTGAGGGCTAGTTGAGCACATGCCAACCCGAGATATGTCTGGTATGCAAATATTATTGTGAATCGATTGTCTTATTCTATAAATAGTTGACAGCTGAGGGCCTGTTGGGCTCTGCTTTATGGCAATGGGCTTCATGCCAGCATGTCCCCTTGAGTAAGGATTCTGCTCAAGGGTAATCCTTGAGGTTGGGAGAATCCTTACCACAACAGAGTCTCAGCAAATGATTAACAGCATGCTAAACTTTGAAATATTGGCTAAGTGCTTCAAAGGATGGACTGTGCACATGTAATCCTTTAAGCAGAACCTGTTCACTGAGTCTAGGACTAAACCTGGATCCATCTGCACTTAGACTCCCCTCAGAAAGGAACTTTGAATTCATGGGGATCCTCCCTGAAACTCATGACTCAATGGCAAGTAGGGTCTCTTCAACAATTTTGCCTGATCCCCTTCTCTATGCAGTGAAAATCAAGTAAACCTTGCCACTGAATCTTGTTGAAAAATCTACACATCGAACCTCATTAAATCACTATTTTACACTGATAAACATAATGCTATTTCTTGGTTGCAAGTGAAGTGCAGTACTTCTCTGTAGCACTGGACAGGCGCAAACATCACATTCTCTCCCTTGGTTGAACCAGAAATCCTCTGAACAGTGGCTTTGGTCACAGCTTATCATCCTTAGTAGGATAAGCTCCCATCAAAGTACTGTGTGTGTCTCCTAAGGTAGGATAATGCAGCTTTGGTGTCACAGATTGATGGTGGGACCACTTACCAAGCAGGAGAGAAGCTTTTATGTAGTTCACTCCAGAGTTTGGGAAGGCTGAAGGCCACCTCTCCAGTTTGGCAGCACTTGCTCTAATTACCAGCATTAGGTAAGAGAAATTCAAGTCCTTTGCAATTTGCTTTTCAGTCTGCATTTCCCTAGGCAAGTTTTCATGGGCATTTCCTGTGGGGTATCTGGGAAGGTACATCTCCAACTTGGCTTTACTTCACAGCAAATTTAGTTTCACAGGACCACTGAGTATGCTGAGTTGAAAGGGACCCACATGAATCATAAAGTCCAGCTCCAGGCCCTGTATAGGACCATCTCCAAAAGTGCCACCTGAGAGCATTGCCAAACGCTTCTTGAGCTCTGTCAGGCTTGCTGCTGTGGCCACTTCTCTGTGGAGCCTGTTGCAGTGCCCAGCGACCCTTTGGATGAAGAACCTTTTCCTGATATCCAGCCTAAACCTCCCCTGACATAACTTCAGGCCATTCCCATTGGTCCTGTTAAAGTCACCACAGTGAGGAGATCAGTACCTGCCCCTCCTCTTCCCCTCATGAGGGAATTGTAACTACAGTGAGGTGTCCCATCAGTCTCCTCTTGTCCAGGCTGAACAAAGAAAGTGACCTTGGCCACCCCTTGTATGGCTTTCTATCCAGACCCTTCACCATCCTCACTGCCCTCCTTTGGACACTCTGTAATGGTTTAACACCTTTCTTGCACTGTGGCACCCCAAACTGCCCCCAGCACTCGAGGTGAGGCTGGCCCAGTGCAGAGCAGAGCAGGACAATCCCCTCCCTTGCCTGGCTCGTGATGCTATCCCTGATGTCCCCAGGACAGGGTTGGCCCTCCTGGCTACCAGGGCACTGCTGGCTCCTGTTCAACTTGCCATGGACCCACAGCCCCAGATCCTTTTCCATGGCACTGCTCTCCAGCATCTCCTTCCCCAGTCTGTCTGTACATCCAGGGTTGTCCCATCCCAGGTGCAGAGTTCAGTTTTTCCCTTTTTGAGCTTCATGCAGTTGGTGATTTCCCAGTCCTCTCATTTGTTGAGGTCTCTCTCCAGGGCCTCTCTGCCTTCAAGGGAGCCAACAGCTCCTCCCAGTTTTGTATCATCTCTGAACTTGCTTAGCATCTGTTCCAGTTCTGTTTCCAGGTAATTTATAAAAATGTTGAAGAGCAGAGGGCTTAGGATGGAGGCCTGTGGAACCTACCAGTGACAGCTCACCAGCCTGATGTCAACCCAGTCACTGTAACCCTTTGTGTCCCACCCACGAGCCAGCTGTTCACACATCACAGAAAGTCTTTGTCCAGCTGTGGGCTGGACATTTTGTCCAGAAGCATCCTGTGAGAGACAGTATCAAAAGCTTTGCTGAAATGCAAAAAGTGAGGAGGCACATGGAATGACAGGGAAGATACCTTATTTATAGATCATCCAACTATATACAAATAATGTATGGCGGTAATTTCTGTATCTGTCAGGAATCACTGTGCCAGGATTCAGTGTTCTGTGTAGATCCTCAGTTCTGCAAACTTCCCTGAAAGAGTTTCCCCTGGATCAGAGCCACTTGGATGCTGCTACTACAAAGAGTAATTCCACTGAGGTGCTTCCTGTCATATCTTGGGATGATAAAACTTACTCCATTACACCACTGGGTCAGTCTGATGCACTTCCAGTATTGAGATTCAGTCAGCTATCAATTCCTCTAGAAGCAGTGCAGCATCAGCTTTGGGGAGAACCCAGCTGAGATAAACTGTGAATTGCTGTAGGCACAGTTACTTAGTCAGTCTTGCTTACATTTTCCCCACTGCTTCCAAACCCAGTCCATACATGCTCCTTGATAAAAGGGAATTGTTTCATTAAGTCTAACTTTTCCCTTGTGAGACAAGATCAAGTGGTCTTTGAAAACTCATTTGAGGTCTTCAGCTCGTGTTCTGTATAATTTCATGATTGCCTTCTCCATCATTTCTGAATTGCACAGTCATCTCTGGCAAAAATCTAAGCAGTTCACCCTCAAATCTGACAATGATAAACTGATGTGATGAAATTAAGAATTGCTAAAGGCTACACTTATTTTTAAAACACAGAATTTAGGGATTGATGCTTAAAGAGAATTTATAAAATCATTCAGCCTTTCTACACACTAGTGCCTTCCATCTGCCTTGGACAGGAATATTTTTTTCACAGTTGTC